ATTTGGGTCACTTTTTAAAAATTTTTGTAACTTTTTAAAATTTTTGTCATTTTTTTTTTAGTATTTGTCACTTTTTGAATTTTTAACACTTTTTTTTAGTATTTATCACTTTTTTTTTCAATCACCTCTTGATTTCTATCACTTTTTATAGTGATAAATATCATTTTTTTTTAAGTAAAAGTGGTATTGTATGTTATTTTTTAATTAAAAAAAAGTGGCACTTAACTTTTAAAAGTCATATTGTGTCACTTTTTCGTATTAAAAAGTGACATTATGTCGCATTTTCATTTTACACAACATTTTTTACTTCCTAAAAACTTTTCATTTGATTTTTCAAAACATCCATAATTTCAAGAGTATTTTTGTAAATACCCCTTTAAAAAACTCCCAAATCCCAAGGATTACAAATCCAAGCTGAATCCCAAATAAGCAACACTATTTCCCAATGGACCTAGAGCATGTATGGCAGCCATTATTCACCAAATTAAAAGGAAAATTTTGACCGTTATGTACCAGTTGAGTAGCCATTTTTGACTGCTTGGGAGAGAGGGGGGACCCACCAGCTGATTGCAACGGTAAATTTTTGGCTGAAAATTTGATAAAAATGGCTGCCAGACATATCCCTAATCCCCACATAGCAACCCAATTATCGTCATTCTNTTTTTTTTAGTATTTGTCACTTTTTGAATTTTTAACACTTTTTTTTAGTATTTATCACTTTTTTTTCAATCACCTCTTGATTTCTATCACTTTTTATAGTGATAAATATCATTTTTTTTTAAGTAAAAGTGGTATTGTATGTTATTTTTTAATTAAAAAAAAGTGGCACTTAACTTTTAAAAGTCATATTGTGTCACTTTTTCGTATTAAAAAGTGACATTATGTCGCATTTTCATTTTACACAACATTTTTTACTTCCTAAAAACTTTTCATTTGATTTTTCAAAACATCCATAATTTCAAGAGTATTTTTGTAAATACCCCTTTAAAAAACTCCCAAATCCCAAGGATTACAAATCCAAGCTGAATCCCAAATAAGCAACACTATTTCCCAATGGACCTAGAGCATGTATGGCAGCCATTATTCACCAAATTAAAAGGAAAATTTTGACCGTTATGTACCAGTTGAGCAGCCATTTTTGACTGCTTGGGAGAGAGGGGGGACCCACCAGCTGATTGCAACGGTAAATTTTTGGCTGAAAATTTGATAAAAATGGCTGCCAGACATATCCCTAATCCCCACATAGCAACCCAATTATCGTCATTCTCATCAAAATCACTGCTCTCATCGATTTCCTCTTCAATAGATAATCACTCTCTACCTTAACGATTCAGTCTCTCATCGGAACTGTTATTTTACGTAATGTCCACTTTGGGGTGGGTTTCTGCCCACTTATTCCCTCATTGCTTTCTGGACGCTTCCCCATGATTCAACTTAAATATCTCATATGATGGAGGTCTTGTGTTCGAATTTTGGGGGATGTGTCAAGAAAGTCGTGAGGGGATAAGTGGGCAAAAGCCTACCCCAAAGCGGACAGTACGTAAGATAACGGCTCCGGTGAAAGGTCGGGTCGTTACACTACCTATCATTGACAAATTCTCCCCGACGACAAGTTTCCAAATCGGCAATTTCTGCTATGGCAAGGCACGACGCAGGCGAAAGCCTCACTACCATCCTTCATTCCCCACATGAGACATGAATTCTAGTGATTCCTTAGTTTTTTAGTTCAAAAATCATGTTACAAGTTGTAATGTTGTATAATATCTTGTATCAAATATTTTTCACTACAATATTCTCTCAAGTATAAGAATTTTCACGACACTAGTAGGTCAATCTTTCTAATTTTTAATTCTTAGAATTATATTTAGGGATGATAATAGATCGAGTGGACTCACCTCTTCGCTCTTGAGCTCGGCTCAGTCGAATTGCTTTGCGGTGAGCCAAGCACGAGGTGTTTAAAAAATTTTGGGCTCGGCTCAGCTCGCCTATAGGTGGGACGAGCCAAGCTGAGCCGGTCTGCCGCTACATGCCCCCCCCCCC